AGCTCAAATCTGTGAAAGGGTCTGATAAGGGTTACACATCAATCAGGCTGTAGCTTTTCTCCAGGACTCTTTACAAGGTAGAAGGCTAAGTGTGTGGATACTTTCTCACTGGCCCATAATGCTGAATAAATCTGCATTAGTGCCCAAACACTGGGTTTAGTGAGAGACCACTGACTGGGATTCTAAATTTAAACATAAGATTCCTGCACAAATTATATTTTTGCCTGTAAAAGTAGTGTAAACACAGTAGATAGTCCAAGAGACGCAGCTGCGTAAGCTTACAATTAAAACGCTGTCTGGAGGCCAGGCTGATGCAGAAGCAAGCAGTCACCTGGGCCAGTCGCCTTTTCACTCTTTCAAAGTGCTGCTTAGAGGCGTTAGTGCTGCACTGAATGGCGTTCAAAAGAAGGCAATTATGACTCATTTTCTAAACCCAAAGAAATGCAGTGGTGAGACTCATTCCTGCATGATGAAGTGGTAACATATAACATGCTTTTCCTTGATGCTCGAGCTGTGCCCACGATTACCTCTTCGTTCATCACCGATTCTCCCGACTTGCCGGTCAGGGTGTAGTAGATGTCGCCTCGCTTCAGCGTTTCGTAGCTCAGCTCAGTCGCAACCATGTGCAGCTTGGAGAGGTATCGTGCATTCAGCTGATCAGACACAAGCGTCTTAAGCTGCAGAAACAAATACAGCACCCAAGATAATAAGAGTTCTTCAGTCTCTGAAGACTCGAAAGCTCGAAAGCCGTGGTAAGTTGTAGATGTTCAAGCAACTTCTATAAAAATATTTACAGTAATGAAACAACTTTCTCAATAACTGTATGCACCAAAACATCAAGGAAAGACTGTTTCTAATTTGAGCTCATGAGCAGTCTTGCTCCTGGACTATAATAAATACTGGTCCTATTCCAACTTTTGATGCCAAGAAATACAATATATTAACTGCTGACATCCTGTTCATGCTATTTCAGTAGGAAGATTTGTAAATATTCCGGAAGTCATTCTGATAATACAATAAGGACAATATTTTCAATCCGACAGAGGGGAACCAGCTCTGAACTTTGGGAAGACCAGACTAAGCTCTCCAGTTCACACTCTGGTAGACAAACCACAAGGTTAGGCAGTTAAAGTTTGTTGTTGTTTGCTCACGTACTTTCTGCATCTTTCTAGGATTTACAATCATTCTTGCAGCCTGTTATATTAACTATAAACCACCTAGAATAAAAGTGTTCATGAATAATAGTAACAATTGAACATGAAGATCATGCCAGCGATGCGCCATGTTGTTGTGCCCAAGGCTTGCGCCGTGTTAATAAGAAGAATTGCTCCCAAGTCTTGT